AATATAAAAAAGGAAAAAGACTTAAAGTATTGAAAATAATGCATTTTGTAATGTATTATCTGGATAGTTTATTTTTAAAATTTTAAAGTATTTATAGATCTACTCAAAACACATCATTTTTTAAACTTTAAATTTCATATTAAATATGAAAATTGATTTCCATTCCATCATAGACATTTATAGTACTAAAACATCTTTTGACATCATTTGGAAGTGTGCCTCACTATAATTATTTAAGATGTCAACTTTATACAATCCTCACAATTTTCAAAAGGATACGGTTTCTATGCGGTCAGCCCTGCATATTGTAGAATGTGGGCTTGACAATAAATATATTTTTTAAATATAATTTGATCTTAATTTTTAGAGAATATATAATTTTTAATATAGAGATCATGAATATGAAAAAAAAAAAATTTGAAAATTAAAAATGATAATTATATTAAAAAAACGTTTGAACTGTTAATTACACTTATTTTCAGATGGACCACCTATTTGCATTAATACGGATGCTTTATAACAGTGCGCATGAAACAATTTTTTCCTTCAATATGACCACCTCAATGGCCTTTTTAATGATTTCACCATTTTAATTATATTTTAAAAATATTTTTTATCTATGAATTTGTCTTATATTTTTGTAAAAATAAAACCCGAACTTTAAGTATTCAAAAAAACCAATCTCCAAGAAAAACCCCACGCCCAAACTTTGTCGCAACAGTGCCCCATGTCTTCCAAAGCTGAGGCAAACGGCCTGCTCACTTAGAATGGAGTCCCACTTGTCTCAAATTTGATATTTGACGCTCACTAACACATTCCTCTTTCCCCCCCTTATATGATGCCCTCTTATCCCTTCTCTCTACTCACCCATCTTTGTTGTAAGCCTTCAATTGGAGAAACGTGCCTACACTATTTTGGGCTTCAATGGATGGCTTGGATCTTTGGATGAACCATCCATCAATAAATCTAAACCATCCATTTAGACTTCTAAACAAAAGCAAAACGGATGAGCTTGAATGGTGAGACGTCAGCCTCCAATACAAAGACAGCATGCTGGTGTTGTGTGTGGGGGGAGTCAACTCGTTGAGGTCACTTGTCTGCCACTCACCCACGGGTGGCAGCGATTGAGAGCGAGAGGAGAGAGAAAGGGAAGAGAGAGAGTGAAGTTATCTAACTTTTACCTTTTATGCGTGAGATTGAATTGGCACAATGTTAGGAAAAGGAAAATTGTGAGCTATAGTAAAATTTTAGAGAGAGAGAGAGAGAGGAGAGAGAAGGAGGGCCTTTGATGGTGGATAGCACTGATGCTAGACAGAGGGATAGCGATTGATGGGCGAGAGAGAGACCAGGATAGATGTTTGAGACTAGGGCCTTATATTGGACGGATTAGGTCTGATTCGACCTTGATTCAACCGGTACCTAGTTAGGCCCATACTGGCATATATCGGGTTGGGTTGGGCCGACCCAGAACTGGATCTGACCGCATAAGGATCAGGATGCACTTAGAACTAGACCCAACCCAGGTCAGGTCCAAGTCAAATGGAGGCTGACACACGCTCCATTATCTGGGCCCAAACATTGAGCCGGATTGGGTCAAGTCGACCTTTCGAGTAGGCAGGTGCACCCAACTGGTTGCCTCCCTTACTTGAGAGAGAGCACAAACTCATCTAGGTGAGATTCTTTAGACCGATACAGTTCTCATACAAAATTGTATGTATCTGAATTTCTTGTTTAAGGAGAGCTAGAGAAAGAACTAGAGTAGCTCTACGAGAGAAAGAGGGGGGTGCATAAGTAGGTCATGGGCCAGGTAGGGTTGAGAAATTTTCGGATCGGGTCTGGATCCACCAATATCCAGATTTTGATCCGAAAAGTATATGATCCAAATCCAAATCCAGATATGGATCAATTCCAAGTTTGTATATTATAAAGTTAAAATATAATTATGAAAGCTAAAATAATTGCACATATTAAGCATCCTAACATAACCCAATTATAAAATAATATATATTATTTAAAAAATTGAGCTTGATCCAAATTGAATCCACCTATAATTAAATCCGACCTAAATTACTATTTGGATATGGATCTAAATTTCGCATCTAAAATTTGGATCCAAATAGGATCCAAATTTTGAATTTTAAGTAAAGTATTTGCCCTATGGCATGGCTTGGTGTGTGTTTGTGAGAGAGATAGGGGGGTAAGATTGAAGAGAGACAGAGAGAGTCCCTCCAAATGAAGGCCATTGTGGCCACGATTCATGAGAGGGAGGGATTCCATGTAGAATTTGTAATACAAGAAATAAAGACAAAAGAGAGAGAAGAATAATCAACAAGACATATACGTGGTTCAAGTCAACAGAGGTTAAACCAGTATCTCATTCATAAGGATTATTTTGATTTATCAGATATTTATATAGATATAACTTTCGCCTTTTAAATAACAAATCACATTACAATAGTAATCCCACAAAACAAAAAACTCAACACACGAAACTTAATATGGGGTTCTTTCAACACTCCGAATGAAATCATGACACCTAGGATTGATGAGGGAGAGTGATTCCAAATCAAGATCATTAAGTGTTCGATTGCACAAACTAGACCGTAGAAACCGGCCATGTACCTGATCCAAGCAACCCAAAAATTGAACCAAATCGGGTAGGTATCATCGGTTCGGCAAAAATGTGTAAAAGAATCCAAAAAATAAAAAATATATGTTTAAAGTAAGATTAATAAATATATATTTAAATGAAGTTAAAAAATAAGTAAATAATTAATCTGTCGTTTGAGGTTAGAGGGAGGCTCCAAATGGAGAGTGAGGGCCACGATTGATGAGACAGAAAGGGGGAGTAGATCCATGTGCGGGTGGGTTGGTGAGAGAGAGAAAGAGAGCAGGAATTGACACGGGACAAAGGACAGTAGTCACTGTAACCATGTAAGAGGCCCGATTTATTGTTTACGAGATGCCGACGAGAATAGAACTACGTAGACGTGGGCCCCGCCCTTGCTGAGGTGGACTAGAGGCCGAACTGGGTGCCACGTCAACCCGTTAAAGCGAATAAATGGGCAAAGAAATAATAAGGAGGGAGAAGAGCAGGAAACGCGTGGATTGAGAATTGTAAAAGCAAGGTAGATGACATCATCTACAGTTAAAGTCACACGCAACTTAGTGTGGTTCAACTTCCTAAGTTCGAATATTTCCATGTGTTTTCAGTCATGAGGGGTGAGGAAAGGAAATCCAAGCCGATCATGTGCTCCCGCTGGTGCATTTGGTATCCATTTCTATGTTTTTTAAAAACAGAACAAATATTTTTTTACTTTTTATTTTTTGTTTTCGTATTCCAATAGATCTAAAGATTCAAAATATATTTTTTAACCCCTATACTAACTTTATTCTTTTTTAACTACTTTTTTAATCCTAACAAATATAAAAAAGACATACTCATTTTAAACTCTTCATCTCGTTATGTGATATATTCTCCCAAATTTATCTCTCTAACATTCACCTTTTTTGTTTCTGTAACGGAGGAAAGAGAGTGAGATACATAAGAGAGAGAGTAGAAAAATAGATTTAAGAGAAAATTATGTGAAAATAGAGAAATAATGGTGTTTAGAATTGACATATGTCTTTCTTATATTTGTTTAGGACAAAAAAATAAATTTAAACGGGATAAAGTTAGTTCAAGGGGTTCAGAGATATAAAACTTAAAATTTTTATGTCCCAAGATATATTTTGAAACATTGGATTTATTGAGATATAAAACTTAAAAATAAAAAGTACAGAGATATTTTCTTTTTAAAAAATATGTCATGTGCAAATGAGTGATTTAGGACCCAATTTTAGTACATAAATATTTACCAACTTCCAAAAAAAAAAAAGTAACGATCTAAAATAGTGTTTCAAACGTGTCCGGCCGATTTGGATCGGGAATCTGGATGAACTAGTTCCAAGTCAAAATCAGGATATTGTATTTTTTATTCTTTATTTTTAACTTACTCTTCTCATACTGAAGGATCGATCAAACCGCCGATTCAAATAGGTAATTTGATGATCCAGACCGGCTTTTAGAAGACCAATTCGAGTGACTGACACAAATTTAGAACACTATTCTAAATAAATAAAAAATGTAAGATTCTAAAATTGAATTGAGATCACCAAAATGATTGGACTAAAAGAATACTATCATCAGAACGAGATTGTGTGGGAACTTAAAATCTGGATTTTTTTATTTGGTGACCATAAAGTGGATCCCCTAAGAGATTTTTTTTTTCTTTTCGAGATACTCGAGTTGAATTTAAAATGAATCCTAAAAATTTATATTGAAAAATACTCATGAAACTCCTATAATTTACAGTGAATCCATCTTAAATTGAAGAAATGCTGTTAGGTATGCTGCCTGAAGGAGCAATTGTACAATGTGATCCTATACGAGCACACTATAAAAGAAACTAGGATACCTACTCCTACATGTCCAAACTAAAAAATACCCCACCTTTAAAAGTTAAAAACTCTTCAAACCCAATAGTGCATTACATAAGATTGGGACAAAAATGCTTAAGATGGTGAATTTCGAGAACCCTCAAACTTGGTTAATTTTCCTTATTTGTAATCTCTCTCTTAGTTTTTTTTTTTTTTTTTTTCTATAGTGACTGTCTCTCTTCAATTTCATTGTCCATAGTAATTTCTCTCTGTGGTACAACCTCTCTTGATCAATTTTCCTTGTTCGCCCCTCTCTTTCTCTCATTTATTCAACTTGTTTCCATATATGGGTACTGTTTTTTTGTGGGTGAGTTAGTGGGGAGAGGGCCCTACCACAATAAGAATTAAGTCTAGCACGTAGATTTCTAAATCGTCAAGCGCTAATCAATTAAGCCCATGCTTTTTTTCTATATATGGGTACCGCTGACCTTCGCCAAAAGCTAAGGATATCTAAATTCCACCTTCACATATAAATACAACATGGAAAAAAGAACACAAACACCACCGTGTGTGTTCTCTCCGTTATCAAGACACATCGATGTCTCGAAACAAAACTACAGCCATCGTGGTGCAAAGCTTTTCGAAGATAACGAGCAAGTAAGCCCTCTTTCTTCTCTCTCTCTCCTTCCTATCTCTCTCTACACATCATAGGAGAGAGACGATGCAGTAGAGGGAGAGGATGTATAGCTTTTTTTTTTTCTTTACAATAATTAATAAAAGAGTGTGTCATCTTAAAATAAGAGATAATTATAATAAGGGTGCAGTTGGCATACGGATGCATGCGTAGCTATAGAGGTAATGTGCACCTTCAAATTTTACCGTGGTATATAATTTTGATGTAAAATGTTCTTAGGATTATTTCAAAATCTATTTTTATATCTAATTATAAAATTTTAAATTTCAAAATGGTTAAAATCAAGTCGATCTATACACATATGAAAATCATCAAGTTGATCTATAAACATATGAAAATTTTGAAAATGGATGGTGTAGATAATATGTTATAAAATGCACTATTTTTTCGACGTAAAATCTTTTTATTTTTTATGGTCAAACATCTTGATGTCGAGATCATCAATCAAATGGTTTTTCTTTTTCAATGGATTTTTGAGGTGCATCCGTAGTTCTACATTATAAGTTTTTCAATAGATTTTTGAGGTGCATCAGTTGTTCTACATTATAAAGTTGCATCCTTATGTAAACTATTTCTTTATAATCCTTATAATAATAATTAGGAGAAAGAGTCGTTAAAGGCAATTACTAAGGACAAGCAGGATCAACGTGATTGCTCTTGCAATCTAATCTTGATTTCTTAGCTTTTTTTTCTTTGACATGCGATCAACGTGATTGCTCTTGCAATCTAATCTTGATTTCTTAGGCTTTTTTTTTTTTTTGACATGGGAACGGCGAGAATGGAGGGAGGGGCGTCATGTTGAGGTATCAGCACCCATGACCATGGATGCCCCGACCCCATTCCTTGATTTCTTAGCATTTCTACACACTTAATGAGTGGATCACTCAGTTTCTCTGTCCATTTATATATTTTTAATATGTTTGTTTTTTGTATTTATCATCTGGGACTATCTATTGTCCAAAAAAAAAGAAAAAAAGAAAAGAAAAGAAAACCAAGATGTTAAGCAAACATTGCCGTTACTTGTTGCGAGTTGGTCTTTAAGAGTCCAATATTTGAATATTTTTTGGGCACTTTAGTAATTTGATTTCAAATGACAAAAAATGCTTCTATTAAAATATTGCAAAAATAAAGTTTTGGCAACAAGAAGAGATGTTTTTTGGGGTAAGCCAGAAGAAGGGATGTTGCTTATCCAAAAGTGTAGAGTTGTCAGTTCTTCGTCACTTTTGGTTGGGGGTATTTTCTATAATTCATTTATAACAATTTGAAATTGCCTTTACATTTGTTTGATTCTTTGTCATTTTGCTAGAAATATGCCTTTTCTTTTCAAAAAATCATATAATATGTCTCACCAAACAACAAAAAATATTCTTCTCTCATTTTCAATAAATCATACAAAATAAGAAAGGATATGGGTCCTGGTTACCACGGATTCCAATCTTACTGACACCACCCAGTCCCACCTTTAAAAAAAACCGACTCTCTAATCTATCTGAAAAAACAGGCAGAGGCATGTCCTCCCCACTGAATTACCAAAAAAAAAAAAATATCATACAACTTAGGAACGGCTTTCCAGTACAACACTTTTAAAAGTAGGCATTACACCGCCTTTAAAAGCAAATCCAAAACTTTTGGGTCTTCATTTACTGATCTTCAAAAGTGATTTTTTGAAAATATGTAAAATCTAGAGCACTATATCTTTATTTTGCTATAGGCCAAGCATACCACGCACAAACCAACAAAAAAACAAATGTCTATCATCCACAAATAGTGTATGGTACATGCTACATTTGTTTGCTATATGAGAGAGTGGTGTACGGTACACGCTACAGTTGTTTGATAGGTCTGTGGGAGTTCATGGAGGAACCCCACCAGTTGTACTAATCTCAATGACTGTGTACATAAGCCAATGCCCAAGATTGTAAATTCTGTTGCTTATAGTTTAGCTGTGAGTATGAGTGAAAGAGAACCAAACCAGTCTAGATGCCGAACCTTAATAATTGAAACTCTAGTATCATTAGAGTCTTATCTCAATTAATTGGAGTTCGTTATATGAATCATGTTCCACCATTCCATTTTATCAAGAACTGTACTCTCATATTTGTATTGCATATTTAAAAGGTGCTATGATGGATTATATATTTATGCTTGCCAGTTCCTCCATCTATGCTATACCAATGGAACATCCACCGCACATTATTGATGATCAGCAATAGAAATTAACCATATTTTTTGTCCCGAAATGTTATTCCTGACCTCATTGGTTGTCAAGAATGAATGGTAGATTTCTCAAAAGATGTACCATATATACGATACATAACAGGTATATGGTACATTTTTGATAAAAGTTGTCATTAAAAAAGAGAAAAAGAACTACACAGTTGGAGAACTGCATATACGGTCCAACAAACGCATGTAAATGAATGCTTGCCATGTTGATTCACGTAAGGTTGCGTTCGTTAAAGAAAAAAAGGGGAGGATTTATCAAAGGAAAATTGTTTCATGCGTTGTGTCCTTCGTATCTACATTTGCTCCTCTGCATTATAAAGCATCCATCTTAAAGATGGAAGCAAAGAGATGATCTATCATAAAACAATTTAAACTGATGATCCAAATGTTATCTTCACAAAATTATTATTTTTACCTTTTTAAATTTATTTGTTGTTCATATTCATAATCTCCATATTAGAGATTACATGTCCTCAAAAATTGGGTATGAAAATACATCTCAAAAATAAAATTTTAAAAGTGGACTCATTTCTACATGGACTCATAAAAACTGTGTCCTTGATCAAAACACACTTAACATATCAACTATTTAATATTTTACCCATTCAATTATTTTTTAAATTAAATCATGTAAAAATGATTGAAATATTAAGTAGTTCATCTCATAAATTATTTTTGATGAATTTCTCAGGAAAAATGTTGGCCTTATTCAGGTAAAGGTTGGAGCCTTTGGTCCCTTCATCGAAGGACGATAACACTAACCACCATTTCACGTGTGAGAAAGACCATATTTGAGTAAAGTAAAAGAGAAAAGAGAGGGGAGAAAAGTTTATATAAAAAGGGTGTGGTTTGTATAAAGTTGAAGCCCTGAATAATCAAAGTAAAGCGCACATGGAAATAGTATTGAAAAATGTTATTTCAGTACTGAGAATCTTTATGATGGCATGAAATTTTGTTTTTATCTCTAATTATAAAATCTAAAACTTCAAAAATAGTGTAGCTCACGTCGATCTATGAACCCTTAAAAATTGACAGTCCAGAAAATGCTTGTGTATTATTTCTAATACTTGAAATCCATTTTTTTCATGTTCATAAAGCTTGAGGTCGAGATGATCTATTTGAGGATTTTTATACATCAAAACAACCTCCTCTTGCGAATTTTTGAGGTATGCTTTAATTTGATTATTTAGGGCCTCACCCTTATATAAACTTTTTATTTTTAAAAAACTTGTCAAACATACATGTAATAGACTCGGCATAACACCACAAACTTTTTTTTTACAATGTTACAACTTAACATAAATCATATATATATATATATATATATATTGAGACCATTGACTTTTTGTACGAAATGGGCACAATTGTTTATACATAGTACTAAGAATGCTCATCAAGTACAGACAAATACACATGGGGGACTATCAATATCACTCTCATGGAGGTTAAGGTGAAAACAAGCTAGAGGGAGGAGTCATGACTAGTGTTAGCAATGGGCTTGATGGCCCCGATTGAAAAAATTAACACCGTGTCCACAAAATATTGCTCAAGTACCAAGGCACCATTACCTGGCTAGGACTATGGCCTGCCCAACCCAATTTGATGTTTGCCTTTAGGTTTTTCTTTTTAACTTTTTAAGAAATTATTGGGCCCAGTTTGATCCAAGCTTTGGCCTAGGTCAAGGTCCCTTCGGTAAAGGACAGCCGGGCCCAACCTGGGTTAGGGACCTTCTGCCCCGTCCGGACGTTGCCCACACCGGCCTCATATCGACAAGGGCTAGGCTCGGGCCTGGCTGGGCCCAGCTCCAAGCCCTTGCCAGCTCTAGTCAGGACAAAGCAGAGACCGCGCAAGTAGATGATTTGCCGATCCGCAAAGTGGTGCAAGAGTGGTTCAGAAAAAAGAAACCCTACAAACAAAAACACAGGAATTTAAGGAGAGACAACTCCCTTCGAGTCGTGCCATAAATGGGTGCGACAAATTGATATCCCCTCTGATTTTTGCAGGCCTTTTGTCCCCACTCTACTCTATCTCCTCTTCTTTTGTGGCTACTCTCTCAACCTTCTCCTCCATGAAAGAAGAAGACGACTCGCTCACAAACCTCTCAAAAAACCAACCTCTTTCTCTCTCCTCTCTCTCTCTATAATGGAGGAACACTTCAACCCTGAAACGACCATTATTCGTAAGTCATCACCACCACCATCACTGAGCTTGGAGCTTGGGCTTGAGCAACCTTATGATTTAGAGCCAAGAGTTTTCCCCTGCAACTACTGCCACAGAAAGTTTTACAGCTCTCAAGCCCTGGGAGGCCACCAAAACGCTCATAAATTGGAGAGAAGCCTAGTAAAGCGAGCCCAACGATCGAGTTCTGCGCTTGGTGGCTCGGGTGATTCGGGTTCGAGTGGGCTCGGGCTCGGCCTGCGGCCCCATTCCATGGCTCAAGAGGTGTCAGGCTCGAGGAATTGGCCCCAGAGGATCGAACCCACTGGCTCGAGGCATGCGAGTGTTGGGACGTTGGAAGAGGGGTTTGGAGTCGATGGGAGGAGAGAAAAAGTGGGTTTTGGCTCAAGCGAAGGTGAGAGGTCGTGGAGAAATGGAGGTGGGACGAGGGAGGATGTGCCCAAGCTTGACTTGTCACTTAGGCTTTAGATGCTCTGTTCAATTTTTTTTGGTTTCTCTCTCTCTCTACCCTTTATGAGAGGTGTAATAATACAGTCCCTCTCTCTCTCTACTAAATAGTACGGCCACTCCCCTTCCTTTATGGTAAGGGTTTAAAGTTTAGTCTCTCTCTAATATAGCCCTCCTCTCTCTCTCTCTCTCTCTCAATATGGTCTCGCTCTTTTTCCTTCCTTTATGGGATAAGTAAAACTATAGTTTCTCTCTCTAAAAATTGAGCATCTCTCTTTCTCAATCCCCCATGGAGAAGTGTGAGAGTTGCTCTTTGTCCTTCGACAACTAGAAGAGTCAGGAGTTTCTCTCTCCTCGAAGAAGGGTAAGAGTATAGCTTTGCTCTCTCTCTTTCGTGGAGAAAATCATTTTTACCAAAAGTTCTCTTTTTATAAGGAGCCATGAAGGATTTTTCAGCACAGGCATATACGAGCTTTTGATACTGAAGAGCTACTTTACTCCATATAAAAGATTTGTTGCTCCCCTTTTAAAAATCCTACTAAAAAAATAGTGATTTACATTCATAACTTCAATTTTTTTCTAAAATACGAAATGTTTTGTTTATACACAGAAATTACGAATGCTTCTTTTTTTTCCAAAGTTGCCCTTTAATATGAGGATGGAATACTCGGTCTGAATTTTAATTTTTTTTTAAATTTTTTGTTTTAGTGGGGTAGTGGCCCATGCTTTGGTGTAGTGCCCTACTAACCAACCAAATAAATAAATAAATATAAATAAAATTTGGTCCGAGGATGTCCTCGCACTAAGGTGCAATTTTGAAAAAAAAAAAGATAGACCTCCTTTGTAATTTCTACCTATAAGTAGCGCAATTCATATTTTTGACAAAAAAAAAAAAAATAATCCCTATATCTCATATTTTTAGATTTTATTTATTAAGAAACCCGAAGTTTCAAAAAACATCTTCTAACCCCTTGACCACTTTAAACCTACTTTTTAACCTAAACAAATATGAGAAAGAAGTGATCTTTTTAAACTCAATCCTTTATCTCTTCATTTATATATCTCAAATTTCTCTCTTTCTGTCTCTTGTTGCATGTTTCACTCTCTCTCTCTCCTCCCTTGTTTATCCAAATACAACTCTCTCTTCATGTGTTTATCCAAACACTTCTGTCTCTTCCCGATAACCTCTCACAACCAAGCATCTCTCTCCTCCAATGTTTATCTAAACACATCTCTCTCTTCATGTGTTTACCCAAACACATCTCTCTCTCCTCCCAATAACCTCTCACCACCAAACACCTCTCTCTCTTCCTGTGTTTACCCAAATACCTCTATTTCTCTCTATGTACTTATTGTGTATTTGGAAGGAGAGAGAGTGAGGGGAAAGAGATGAAAAACGTGGAGATAGAGAGATAAAACGGGAGGAGAGAGAGTGAGGGGTTAGAGATGGGAGATCAGGAGGTTAGAAGAAATAAAATCTACAATTTTTATATTCTAATATATATTTTAAAACTTTTGATTTATTGAGAAATGAAACCTAAAAATAAAATTTATTTAGATATTTTTTCAAATTTTTAAAATCCGTACATAACTCTCTCTAAAAAAAATTAAAAGGCTCCCTCTTTCCCTCTTTAACTCACTCCTACGACGAGATCAATGAAATAGAAAAGTTACTTGCATTTGGGACCTCAGGAGTGAGTCTTCCGGAATTTTTTGGACACTTGCATTAATAGTATTGCACGAATGTGACCCACATTTGTCTTGACATATACCAAGAAAACTCCATGAAGTACAAATTAAAGTCACATGCTCTCATAAACGTTTTTCTCAATTTTTTATGGTTCTTTGGTTTTTCGTGTTTTTTTTTTTTTTTTTTTTGAGAAACAGTGACATTTCTTAGGCTGCTTTTTCCTACTCTTATCTACCACACATTTCAGTGATCGTAATGGTGGTTTTCATGACATGAGGAGTTGACAACAATGTATAGAAGAGACAGAAAGAAAGGGTGTTGAAGAAATTGAGGGATATGAAGTGAAGAAGAAAAAGAAAGAAAATAGAGTTTTACATGGTTAAGTCTCTTGGACCTACGTCCTTGGTTCAAGGGTAATTCAGTTGATAGAAGTTACAAGATAACAGTTAAATAAAAATTAATTTCTCAAATATCTCTTGAATATATCACCATCTTATCATTAAAATATTTTTCAAATTCAGTTACCCAAAACATAGGATATGGATAACTATATCATCTGTATACCATATCGAGTAGCTAGCTATACATGGTTATTTCAACACTCCGCTCAAGTTGATTCGCTCATATCTATCAAGCCCAACTTGCTTAATGTTTCTTGAATATGTACTTTGCTTGTGGCATTTGTGAGGATATGGGCAAGTTGATTTTGCTTATGACAAATGGAGTAATAATTTATTTGGCTTGAACTTTCTCTCTCACATAATGACAATTTGTTTCTGTGTTTAGTGTGTTCATGAAATACAAGATTTGATGCGATATGTATCACAAGTTGATTGTCACAGTTCCTAACCATTAGATGCAAAATATTAAAATCCATATCTCTAAGAAGAATTTTTAGCCAAATTAATTCGCAGGTTGTAGTTGTCATAGCTCTGTACTCGGCCTCTACACTAGATCGTGCAACCACAGACTATTTCTTACTTTTCCAAGTTTCAAGGTTATCTGTAACAACTTTAATTTTTAGAACGAAAAAAAAAAAGAAAAAAAAGAGAGCTCTTTATAGTATGATGGTCTATAGAGGCATTATGATCCTTAGGGACCATCACTACTCTTATGTCCTTTTACCCCTCACCTTTTTCTTTCAATTGCCCTGTCCTTTGGTGGACGTGGGTTTTAAACATTACACATTTAATGCTAGTACTACATCTATGCGGTGGAGTTTAATAAAGTAATATAATAATAAGTTTTAAGGAGTTAAATAGAAAGAGGATAAGGACTCTCGCTCTACATAACTTTTTTGTCGCTCTCCCTCTTACAAACGCAGTGAACTCCTTTTCTCTCGAGCTGAATTTTATCGAAAGTTTCCTCTCAAATATTATAGGTAAGTGGCTTCATTGTCTTGAAGAATAATTTGTTTTTTTTATAAAGTGAAATGATTATTCTGTCTATTATCATGAATTTTAGACACGGTAAATTTTATGCGTAACGGACTTCATTTTCTTGAAAAATAATATTTTTAGTAAAATTATGATATTTTATCTATTATTAGGAATTTTAAATGCTATAAATTCTTAGAAATAAATTTATTTTTCCTGTCTATTGTTCAGAATTTTTTATACTATAAATTATTAGAAATAAATGTGATATTTCCGCTTTTAATAAAATTGTGAGATTTCCTCCTACTGTTTTGAATATTTAGACATTGCAAAATTCATATGCAAATGACAGCCGCATTATTTGAAAAATTGAAATTTTTGCACTTGATTGTAGTATTGTTTATGAAATGATTATTTACGAACTGGCAACTCCATAAATTGTGATAATTCCGTATTTAATTTTGGATTCTCATAAAAGTTCGTCTATTAATACTAGACGGTTATCGTGTTAGATTTCCAGAATGTCCTTCAGTTGTGTTACCTTTCAAAAATTATTGCACAAAATGTTTAAATGGCTACTTAGAGATATTTCAATGGAAGTGATTGTTATTAAATTGCTTCAAGTGAATTAATGCTAATATTTTCAATGATGTTTTGCATATATGATATTGTCGTTTTCTGATGTTTAAAGAGTTTCAGAGATAATTTGAGTATAAGTGGACCTGCAGGGATCGTTAGGACCTATTCGGTTATACCGGTAGCGACTATTTGGACTCATCTGGGACGCCGATGAGGTATGATCGGACCTGCAAGGATTGTTAGGACCTATCCGGTTACGTCGGTAGGGATAATTTGGACTCATCTCGGACGTCAGTGAGGTATGATCGGACCTGCAGGGATTGTTTAAACCTATTCGATAGGGGCTATTTGGACTCATCTGGTACACCTATGAGGTATGTTCGGACTTACAGGGACTGTTTGGACCCATCAAGACGCTGGTGGGGTATATAGGTGACCTACTTGGGACGCTAGTAGGGTATTTTGTGAAATCCTTTGAATTATGCATCTATGTTAAAATGTTTATATGCATTTCCATCATTTGGATTATGTTTAACTATGGACTTGTGAAAGTGCAATTGTTATCTATAAATGCTTTTGCTCGAAATTCTTCCTCAGGTTGTTTTTTTTTTTTTACATA